AATATATATATACATACATATATATATATATATATATATATATATATAATATTTGGCCAACAAAAATACACTCCACGAGTATAAATTAGCCTTTGATTGACAATTTTGAAACACTGCATAGACCAAGTTCATAGACAAAAAAATATATATAGATAGATAGATAACTAAATCTCTTGACCCAATGATTGTAAGGTCTGTTATAAAACATGAAGGATGGACTTGATACTCCTAAGTTTGATTTTTGTTTGTTAAAATAATGTTTAACAAAATCACGTTCTAAGAACACAAATTAATTTTAATTGTCAACTTTATGACATTGCATAAACCATGTCCATGAATAAAAAAAATAATTATTTATATTAAAATAATGTTTGAGTAACAAAAATCATATCCGTAAATACAAATTAATATTTGATTATCAACTTTAGAATATTATATAACATATGTCCATGAAAAAAAATTAATATTTGATTATCAACTTTAGAATATTATATAACATATGTCCATGAAAAAAATATATAAATAGATACCAATGTCATTGCAAATTTTAGTTATTATAAATTTTAATAGTTGGAGTAATATAAAAAGAAAATATAAAAATATCACATTAATAGTTACTAATTCTTTTTATAATTACATTAAATTTCAATAGAGAACCTAATTAGTCACTTTTTGTGATTAAGTCTCCCTCCCAATGGTCATGATTTAATCCAGGTGTTGAATATAATTATAAAAATATTAATTGTTTATGCCCATTATGTTACTATAGTAATAGTTCGATACACATAATTTCAGATATTTCTAATCAATTTAGAAAATAATGAAAAAAAACAATAATATTTAAGTGAGAAATTTATACCAAAATTCAAACTTTATTGATTAAAATAATTATTTTCTTCATGATTAATTGATTGATTGTATACTCGTGATGATAAACTTGACTAAAAAAACTTGGGAGAAAAAAGGCTAATGTTTGTGGAACCTTTAATCTATTAATTGAACAAAGAAGAGTAAAAGGTTGAAGAAATGAAATGTTGGAATTATAAATTAGGACGATACTTGTCTTAAAAAGCTATAAAAAAAAGTTTATAAAAAAAGGAAGGATAAATAAATAAATACAAATGTTTAAGCGCTAGTAAGTTTTCTTAATTTCATTCCCGCCCTCAAACTTTTAAACAGATGTTTCCTGTTTTTATGTACTTGATAAAGCGATACAGACCTCATATTTTATTTAATAGTGACATACACGTTTAGTTCATCATTAAGATATGTTTGAGAAATGAGAAGGAGAAAGAAGAGTCGAAAGTAAAAAGAGGTGTGTAAAAATTAAAACAACCACAAATATTGTTCAGTAAAGAAAGATTGACGAGAAGTGTGAGAATGTTATTATAGGACTTACATCAAAAATCTTTCCCTCTAAAATAAGAGCAAGTTAGTTATTATAATAAATAATAAATAAAGAATATATTTTTATTCATTATTTCTTATATTTAAAATAAATAGGTGATTATGTTATATATATATATATATATATATAATAAGCTAAAAATAAAAAATATAATAATAATAATAATAATAATAAGATCATTTATATTTAAAGTAGATTTATTGAAAAATATTATATTTATTTATTTAAAAACTATATAACTATGATTAAAAAAATTGCTTATATAATAATAATATATTTATTTTTAAACAAAAACTACTTATAAAAATAATCAACTTTCACTCTATCTTCCTCTTACTAAATAACTTATATTTCTATTGATTTCTTTATATTTTTTAACGCTTCTCTTCTCTTCTTTTCTCTTTATTTATTTCATTTTTATTGAACAAAGTGTTAATATTATTTGGACAAAAGAAATGTTTTAAAATTAGTAACTTTTTAAGTTTGTGTGGGGTTTCAAGCCAACAAATGCAAATTTAACTAACCTGCTCCCCAGGCATTTCATAAAGGACGTTGCTCTCGCGTTTCATTCATCATAAATATTCAACTGCCTTATGGACCAAGTCAATGGAAGAGAGGAGATTCAGGGTAGCAAGCTTCAATTCAAATCCTAATAATCCTTTAAAAAATACAATTACCTAAAACAAATAAAATACTGACTAACAAGCCTCAAACCTCGAGAGTACAATACAAGATACCATTTCTTCTCACAATCCTTAAATCTCTGAGGTAAAACACCAAATAGCCTCTTCCTAGCAATTAAACAGATACAACACGAGCCTTGTACATGATTATATAAGCCATATGCCAATCACCTGGAGAAAAAGAAGACAATTTTTTTTTATTGAACCATCATATACAACAAATTTCAAGTTGATAAAAAAATAACAGTTACCCTTGAAATTTCCTAATAATGAAATTAAAATTTTAATAAATTGGCTAATCCTTCAAGGGGGAAAAATTCAAGCTAGATATTGCTAGGCTCAATTGGGGAAAGAAGGGAAGTAACAATGATAACTAAATATAATCCATGTCCACAAATTAATTCTGTAGATCCTCACCTCCTCCAGATAGTCTAGTGATGTCCTCTTCTACTTTAGGTTTGGGATTGTCATCATCAAACTCTATCCATTTCCCTGCCAACAATAAAATAAATATCATTGCTTCAAAGAAACCAGTATAGATAGTCAGATACTACTAACACAATTCTGTGTCCTAGAACCAACCATTTTCTTGCTTGACCCAACCAACATAATGTCCTGAATCAGCACTTCTACCCTTGTGGGTTAATACAGCAACCAAATCATAAATTCCAGTCATCTGTGTTTCCTTTTCACCTATAGACGCAGAATCGAGAGTAAAGACCAGAAGGAATATTGACAAAAAATAATAATAAATAAGTACAAGCATGTTGCAGGATTTTACCCTCCTCCATGGGAACTACAGATGGCTCCCCTCCTCCATTCGATGATCCCTGAAACAGTGAAAGAAACAAAAGAAAATGTTCATTTATGTGAATTGTAACATATGATAGATGTAATGGTGGTTTAATAGACTGGAATTTACTGTATTAGAATGACCATTCCCATTTCCCTGTTTGGCAGCTTTAGATATGAAATGTAGATTCAACGTATATCTAAAAACAAGTTCCAACCTTTCTCTAGGTATAGCAAAGTGTACCCGGACCCTTCGAATACTTACAAAATATTTGCAAGTGGGACGGGTATTTATCCACAATTTTGGGTCTAGGTATGGAGCAGGTATATATCCGCAAGTGTGTGGGTATGGGCCAAGGTACTATAATACCCACCCTGCTACGCATTTGTTATATATTAATATAATTAAGTAAATAATATATTAATTAAATAAATATATATTTATGAAAACTAATTATATATATTTTTTTTTAGATTAACACAAGTCTCTAATATTACATAGAAACTCAATATTACATAGAAACTCCAAATTTAATCTCAATCCTTTCCCGAGTCACGTCTATGTATCTTTAATTGAAATTAATAATATTAAGAAATTGTGCATTCATTGTTTGGAGAGTATCAAACTATGGCTAAGGGAATAATGAAAAGTTCAACTTCACATGCAAATGATATTGATTCAAATTTGGATAATCTATACGTTAGCAATTTCCCTAATGACTATCATTCATTTGTGAATGGTACAATTGAGGCACAATCGAAGTCTAAAATTGATCTCTACTTGGAAGAGAAAGTTTTGTCCAGGAGTGCTAATTTTGACATTTTTAAGGTGGAAAACAAAAGCGATCAAGTATCGAATTATGTCAAAAATTGCTAAAGATGTTTTGACAATCTCAATTTCAACTATTGCAGTATTGCTTCAAAATCTACTTTTAACACAGGAGGTAAGTTATTGAATCCTCTTCCTTCTAAACTTCATGAGTTTATGTTGGAGGCACTTAATTGTGCACAAGGAGGTTGCAACATAAACAAGGTAATGAACATTGTAGTATTTTTCTTTACTCAATTAGGGTTTTATCTTGTATTGCTAGTTTTAGTAATTGTTTTAGATTATCTAATCTTTGGTCCGGTCATGTTTTAGTTTCTATTGGTATTAGTGGACCAAAGCAATATATAGATTTGGGAGATAACCGTTTTCAAAAATATGGAAATATGGTTCTGATGATGAGGTGAAATATATTATGTATTTGTGCTTGTTTTTAATTTATAATACGTAATTATAAGTTAATCAATTTCAATGTATTCTTTTTTTTCCAGGAGTCGGAGAGTATTGTCACGCGACATCCAAGTTTAATAAGAGTTATTGTTAAAGATTAAAGCATTAATTTTAACAACTGTTATGTGGGATGACTATCTTTGTAATGTTTCTTTATGACTTGGGTTTGAACAAAACAATATTTGATTTTTTTTAACATTGTGTGTTTGCTTTTAAGATTATGTTTGAATTATTTAAGAATAAATTTTTAATATAATAGTAGTATTTGTTTTAGTTAATATTTATTGATTTATTATTATTAACCTCACAATAAGTAAAGTGGGGTCACAGGTATGGGCATCTAAGTACCCAACAAGTATGAAGATGGATATTGAAATTGCTACCGGCGCATATATGAAGCCGGGTACAGATATTTGTAAACACGGGTACAGGTACTATATATAGGACCTTACCCATTATCACCCCCTACTTTTCTCATGTCCATATGGGGTTTTGCTAACCAATGTCTCCGCGAAACTGGTTAGCAAATTAATAAATGCAGGTTCTACACTGCAAATCAGTCTGGAAGTGCGATGGAAATCATGGTAGGGGAGCATTAATAATACTTTTCAATTAAAAAATTCATTTTTCATTCCTTAACGAGTGCCTCATGGTACTGGCTAGCATTTTCCTGTACTTATATATATTGATGTAAATTATTGGAGCAATGCTTCTAGTTTTATATTTTACAACTAGATAATTAAAAAAATGTTGCCAAAAATGCAAACAGTTTTGTAATTTTGTTTGTAATAAGAAAAATTGGAGTAGACACAAATTAAAAAATAAAAGACTATTAGTAGTCTTCTTTAAAAGCATATGTTTCTCACCTCAACATCGGCCATTTTTACATCATTTTCCTTCTGAACAGAGCTTTTCTCATTTACTTTCAGACCAAGCTTCTTGCCTTCCTCGTTCCTTAGGATCTAAAGGCACAATATCCAAAATGAGGATATAAAACCTCACATTTTACAGAACAGACATCTTTATATAACAAACAACAAGATTTTCATACGTCAAGACTGAGGATACCTGTCTAGGAGCTTCCAATTTTTTACGGAGATCATCTGAACAAAAATCATACACATCCAACTCCAGAGGATAATCCACTTTCTGAGATAACCAAGCATGATGACATTGTAAAATAAATTTCAGAAAGCAAACAAATATTTCCCAAGATAATTTTTCCAATCCAACCCTAACTATCCAAAAAAAATATACAAAAGCAGAAAGATAGTGAGCTTTACCCGCAAAATCTTAGCCTTCTGGTTGGACTCCCTCTTCCAAAAGAAACGGACAAACTGAACAGTTAGGTACCTTTAAGAGGGAAAAGTTGGAAAACGCACCACTCATCAATTAGACAATTACCAATGAAGAAATGAAACCAAAAAAAGAAACAACTGGATTTCATCTGAACTACTGCGAGGCCAATATCTTGAGATCCAACTTTTTTATAAAACTCGACCAATACTTTATTATGACCCACAAGAAAGATCATAAGTAATGCCATATAATCTTAACTCTTTCAAGTAATTACTTAGAGAAATAAAAATTAAATTAGTAATATTAAAGAAGATAAAATAAGGTCTCACTGGTTATGACTAGAATTGTTACTTGACACATAATACCATCCACAGTTCCACACTCAATCATGGGAATTAGAGTGAAGAACCAAATTTAGACCGACTCTATTTCACCATATATAGAGAATGAAGAACAATGCTTTGGTAGAGTCAATTTATAAACCAAGTCTATATAGTATCTAGACCATTTTCTTACATAGGGTACAAGAAATTGTTAGATTTATTAATATGGTTTTGACATCATATTGTGTGGGTGTCCAGGGAAAAAATAATACACAAATACATAAAACAATTGGATTCAAATCATTCCTGTTATTAAAGATTACAAAATTCATTATTGAGCCAGTAAAGAACATGTTAAGTTTTTGGGTTGAATTGATTTCATTCCTGACATGGTATCAAAAGCCAACCAAGAGGTTAGAAATTTTATATCCCAGACTCCTGTTCATCAAAATTCAATTAAATTTCAGCTCAAGTACAATGGGCTTGTGCATTATTCACAATTAGTTGCTTCAAACCCAAATGACTATTGAATTCAGGAAAGAATTAAAAATTAAAATCATTCATGAAATAACACCTAGAAACTTAAACTTTTGGATTGATTTGGCAGCTCATCTTCAAAATCATTAAACCAAGATATAATCTCAAGATTTCAAATACATAAACATTTTAGCATTGAATGGTCTCATTATAAAACCTTTGATGCAAGTTATACTATCAAAGGTAGCTTGAACTTGTATAGTTTAAAATGTATTCCAACTGAAATTGCATGGCAACAAAGAAAAAACGATCCCAGAAAAGATTATTAACCTTGGCAGGGCATTTATGCGTGATTCCTTCAAGTAGGTAGCACTACGGCCCAACACAGGTGAAGCCTTTTCTAACTCTGATTTTAACCCCTACAAAAGTCAGCTAGGTTAATAAAATTTAATTAAAAGTATATTCATCATAAGGGGAAAAAATAATATGATTAAACAATTAGATAGACCTAAATTATGTCAAAATAAAATTGGATTTTCATTTAGCATTAATTTTAGGGGGAATGAGAAAAGGTATGAATGCTTGCAAGTCTAAATTAGTAACATTTAACCATACAATGGCTACTAAAGTCAATATGCTGTTACACATTAACCACTGCGTAAACATCGTTAACCAGTTAATTATATCTAAACTGGAAAATACTAGCAAGTCTAAATTAGTTAGATTTAACCATACCAATGGTTAATAAAGTCAATATGCTGTTACACATTAACAGCTACATGAACATCATTAACCAGTTCATTATATCTAAACTGGAAATTTTTTACCAATAAGACCTTCATTGTAAATTTCCCTTTTAGATTGTGTGTGCATGCATGCACATATTTGAATCAAACCTAACACCTCTGCCAACCCACCACCACAAAAAGAACCTGCCTAAACCTGGGACCTTTGCACCAAACCAAGAAAATATATGTATAGATAACAGTACCAGAGATAAACTAGAATATACTGATTCTGCATAATAACCAAGAGCTAATTATCATTCAGCAACTGAAGGGAAAAAAAATCATTAGAAAAAATTATATTATAGAGTTGAAGTAAATTTCAGCATTCCAACATATCATGACACTTTCACTGGCTTAATAACATAGTTATACACTTATACAGCTTTATCAAGACAAAATTATCAGTAAAATCTAGGGTTGAACTAGGGTAGAGGATGGAATAGTACAGGAGAAGAAATGAACATATTTGCAGAGAAATAAGGATGAAAATGAGAAACAAATCAAAAACATAAAAATGAGAGATTTGACTTGCAACGAGAATACAACATCCTTAGTATACAACCCCCAACACACAAACATGTGCTGTCAATGGAAAGAGAGATGCCTAAGCACTTACATGTTTTAGCCCTTCATGCAAATGGTTCACCTCCTGTGATATGTGGCATTTAAGTGAATAAACAGACTCTGTTTCCGAGCTTTCTTCATTACTCTCTTGACAATGAATCCTAACAAGTTATCAAATCAAAATGAAAAGTGACTACATAACAGGATACAATTTTATGGAGATCAATAAGCATTTATTCGGATTCAAAAAATAAGTATGAATGTCTTAATTCCTGGAATAACTAGTTTCTCTTGCAAGTTGATAAGCAGATGTATCTTAATTCCTAATTGAATCGAATCCAAAAATATAGTGGGTAAACAATTTCTTCATTAGCATAGTTGCAATCCTCAGGCAGTGAATAAAAAGTTGTCTTTGTTTTTATATTCTACAAGCTACCATATTGTACTAGACTAAAAGGTTTAATTTCTAAACTTATAACATAAGTGAATAATATACTTTCATTTAAAAGTCCCACCAACACAAATTGCTAGAAACTAGAGACAAGAGAACGCACTTCAGGAAAAGAAATCACAAAAGATAATAATTGATCAGATGGCAATTGAAACCTAATAACCAGAGACGTTTGGAGAAAAAATGAAGTATAAAGAAGATGACAATGAGACGTCTACAAATTAAAATCAAGAAATAAAAAAATCTACTTGATTATTAAAACCTTCAAAGCAAACCTGTCAAGTCACTAGCTACAAATATGCACAAAAAATTGAGCAAAGAGCACTTTGTGGATGTAATTATCATATTGCACATTAGTAACCAACAATTGTGTAGAAAGTCTCAGACTGTACCTGCTAATAAGTTCTATGCCAAAAAGGGCCTTCACAGCATCGGGGTTTTCACTGAAAATAAAGAACAGAAGTTGTTCGATTGAAATAAACATTCTGAATGCAAATAAGTGGATAAAAAATATTGAGTAATATATAAATCAGGAGAGTTCACAAAATATAGTAGACCAATATGAAATTGTATTTTAAACAAAACTAGATTGACCACTGTTTAGCAATTCAATTTAAATATGCCATCTTTTTTTAAACAATATTAGTTGCAAGATACTTCCACAATTGCATTCAGTTACCAAGAAATAGGCATAAAGATACCTAGATCCAGGGGATCTGAGGGACTGAGAGAGAGTGTATAGAAGTTGTGTCCAACATTCTTCAGCATCCTGTTAGACATGAAAAATAAAATAGGTAGGTATACAAATTCACACAGCAATAAAAGCAAGTATATAAGGTGGCATGAAGTGAAATTTATAAACCTGTTGCATGAACACTCCATTATGCAGCTGGCCAAATTGAGGATATTTTTTCCGCAATAACTGCAATTCAGCACATCATCATTTCCCCATCCCCCAAAATGAGTAGGACAAGATCAGAGCAGTAAGCAACCATTAAAAATATTTATGAAAATAAAACTTTTCAATTTACAATGATAGACAATAGATATCCTACTCAACAACATAAAAGCAGTAAAATAAAAGTGGCAGATGATAAACATCAATATATTCCTCATATTTTAAAAGTGACAAATCTCCACACTTTGGATGGTAATTTCAAAAGGACATGGGATATATTGGCCACAAAAAAAGGGAATGATTTATACTTACAATAAAAAATCATCAATCTACATACATAAATACATAAATGATACACATTCAGTGGTAGAAAATATATAGATGGAAGAATAGCACCAGTGCAGGTGGCTGATTGCCAACAAATGGTTAATTTGGGCCACAATAAAAGGTAGACCCTGTGAAAAGAATTTAGCCCCCGAGGACAGATACTAAGCAGAAATCATAACCAGGGAGTGAGTTTAGCATCTACTTGTGTGCAGGGGGTGGGGGTATTTTGGTCAATTCAAAAACACATCCCACAATTTACTTCCCATGAGGCAAAATGCAAATGGATTAATTTACAATAGATATCTTATGAGAATATAAGCAAAACTGATGATGTTACCACTTTCTGGATATTTAACTTATAAAATATATACCATACATAATAGTGATGAATAAATTCATCACAACATAACTATCCCCAAACACCAAAGTCTGGAAATACATTACTCCTAAGACCTTGTCAAATTGATGTTAAAAAAGCAGATTTTAAAGGTATTAGAAAAAAGACAAAGTAACAAAAAAATAAATGTTATTATAAAATGATACTTAGTTTTCAATTGACCCTGAAACCATAAACTTATATTTAAAGTTTTAATTTAAAGAAAAACCAAAACTACCCAATACTATCATGTTACCATTACGTTTCAAATGTACCATTGTATTGTTTTACTAATCATTATGACATTTCAAAATTAAAAAGAAAAAAAAAGTCTTCCCACCCAAAAACATACATGTAACATATAATATAAAGAAATAAATTAACAAAAATAGATGAATAATTAGTTATAATGTACCATCCAAAATTGCATTGGTGCCACAGGCTTGACACTTTTATCAAGTTCATTGAATATGTCACGGGTTGCAATGGTCAACATATGAGAAGGCTGATCGACATCATTGTTTCGTCCTGAATTTGAGTACCTGATTCCAATGAAAGTTCATAAATTATCATCATATGTTAGCCTCAAATGCTGCAAATAAAATGTCAAATAGTGTCTCCTTAGAAAATACTTACTTAATCAAAGCTGACTTTAACTCGGGCACAGAATGGAGGCATTGCAATGTTGAGTTCATATAACATGTATTTCCCAAATTGAAAAGACCAGCAGTATGTCCCTGGGAGAACCAATAATCCATCACACAGATCCAACCCAAAGGAAAGATAAAAAAATCAAATGACAAAAAAAATTGTGTATCTCAACCATGCAGAAGAAAATAAACAAATAAAAAATATAAACTCAACATCCATCAGTTTTACATTTTAATAGACATAATATAAATTTTACAGAGATCTCAAATTTTAATGTCAGTTTTTTTTTTTTTTTTCAAAAGCTCCTATTTTTTTGGCTTCTGGGAGAAGCACTGGAACATTTGTTGAGGTATTTGCTCTTTTTTTGTTTTGTGGGGCAGGGGGGTGTAAATCTTTATTATAAGTCTTTAAAACATATTCTGCAACTTAAAAAACACTTTTCTTTCAAAAGAAGACAAAGGCTACAGTGGGAAGGCTCAACTTGACTCCCACCATGGAAAACGAACTCTAACCATTACATAAATCAACTTGTAGATGTATGGTTATGATTTTTCTTCTTAATTTATTATTTTCTTTTTTCTTATATATTTCCCAATTTACCCTCTGTTCATTCCACTCCTCCACTGTCGCTAGTTTGATTCATTCTCACTCCTTAACCCCGTTGGCATTGATAAAAACCATCCCTTTGGTCCATTCCCACTCCTCCACCACTGCCCCGCCATGTAACTTTCAAAAACATTACAAATCAGATCAAGAACCCATGGAAATATGTAAAAAATTTCAAATCTAGAAACCAGAGAACACAAGCAATAGCAAGATCTTCATGATTATGGCAGCATCATGTCGCAAGTAACCCTCCATAGCTGACATCCCTCCACAGTTCCACTGTTGTCCCTACATTTGAAGGTGATTTCTCAATCATTGTGCTCCTAAACTATGCTCCATACACAACATTGCGCACACTATCTGCAACAGATTGCCACCCACTTTGCGCCATGCCGCACCTGCTGGAGGTTCTGAGATCGACAGTGATTCTGATAAGACTGTCATGACAACTAAGGGGAGAAGAAATGATTCTGCACTTGCACAATTGATTCTGGTAGGTCCTTGATCAACGTGAACGAAGAGTGGGAAGACAGATGGGGAAAAGGGCAAAATCAGAAAAGGGGGGGAAGTATAGAAAATAAATTAAAAAAGAAAGAAAAGATATTGACCATCGATTTAAAAGTGAGATGATCTAATATTTAAAGTCTCCCACGTGGGAGACACGTTAAGTCTTTGCACCATAGCCTTCATCTCGAAAGAATATACTAAATCAAGTAAACCAAAATCATAAGTTAGAGCAGACTGCAGAGTCCATGACAACTGCAATAAGCTCACTTTCATCAAGTTCAAAACGATAGACCATCAGTGTTTGACATAATCAGGCTTCTAGTCCATCTCCCAAGACTTTCCATGGAAGAAAACAATGAAGGAAAAGAAATGGAACCAATGCCGAATTGTTTCTCTTTAAATCAAATCTCGGGGTCAGTCAGAGTTTTAAGAAAAGAAAAACACAAATGAAGAGAAATGGACTATTGTCAATCTGTTTCTCAGATTCGAGAGTAGGTTTTTGGCATGTATTAACTTTTAAACTTAAGGAAAAAATTATTTTCCTTCTGTGTTCTATAAATGACAGATAATACAATGAAAAAGATAATCTTAATAGATTATACAACAGTTATGACTTAAGATATTTATGAATCATGCACATTATTTTGTAGTTTATGAAGTAATGTGTGTGAGCGTATATATAAGAGTTGAAACATACAACAGCTACTACTTGTTCTTCTTCAGGAAGATCTTCAACAAAAACAGTTCCCTTCTCTGGAGTCTTTATAACTTCATCGGCTGTACCCATCATCATTAGCTTTTGACCCTGGAAAAAAAAAAAAAAAAAAGAGATTTCGTAGATCATTTAAATAAAAGGATGTAGGTAATATAGTAGAACGGCACTGACAAACACAATCTAGCACCACTAACCTCTTTCACTCCTAATTTTGACCAATCGGCATCATCCTGCATCAGAAGAGGAAATGAAAGGAATAAAAAAGAGCTTTGAAACAACTTCATTCCAACTTTTTATGCAGAAATCTTTAGTAAACAACTTCAATCCAACTTAATATACAGAAATATTTGTATAAGACCAACTCAGGTTGATTCATTGATTAATAATAAGGAAATATTAAAATCAAAGTGGATAAAGCATAGTCAGGCTAAGTTTGCTTGCTTACCTTCAAAAGACCACCCTTGACCATAATTTTTTGTCTTTCAGGAGGAACACCAGTCAGATCATACAATTGGCATTTAAAAACAAAAGGGGACTGTGTAGTGTCAATTTCTACATCTTTGAAAATCTCCTTTTGCCATTTTACACTTACTGCAGAGAGTGATCAGTAGTGAGCATCAGAATGATAACATCAGATTAAAAAAAAATCAACAAGGAAACAATAAAATAGCAGTAAACGGAACTCCAAATCATTGGCAAAACCAGGACCTCCACAATTATCTTCAAAATTCAACTACAGTTCGTTTGCTAACATCCTTTGAGAGATGTAAAACAAGACAAACTTTCCTGCAGAATGAAAATACTTAACAGTGGTTGTAGAACCAGCGTAATTTTTCTCTCTATCCCTATAACATAGCCAAACTTCAAAAGCAGTTACATGCTGCTACATCTCCACTTTCGAAAGCTCAAATACACCGATAAATGCTGAATAATAATAACAATAATACTAATACTACGTGTAACGAACCAAAAAACTTAAAAACAGCATAGCCAGGCAAAGATAACAGCACTGAATGATCCTAGCTTACGCAGAATAAAGTAAATTTAAAAAAGGAAGCCATAAATCGAGCTAAAACGGCAACATCCCGTCAGAATTCCAAACGATAACAAATTCTCATTCTCTTCAGCAGAAACCCTAAATTACGAAGTCCCCATCTGTTTGATTTGGAGGACGCAGCAGAAATAAAAAAAATAGAGCGGCAAAGAAAATTGAAGAATAGAAAATGCATCGAAAGGAGAGCGAGGAATGCATAGAGAAGAAGTGAACAGTGGGATGCTGAAAATCGGAGGAAGGAAAAGTGCGTGACCTGTAATCATGATGGAAGGAGGATCGAGAAGGAAGAGAGTGGGGAGGAGAAGAAAAGAAGAAAGAGGTTGGCGTGAAGAAAGGGCAAAACGAAACGAAAAGAAAGACAGTAATGAGGCCTTTGTGTGAGGCTTTTATATTTGGGGCAGGAGGAGTGTTTGGCCCACTTTTTTCCTCTCTGTTCGGCTTATGTTATGGTCACAGAGCCAGCCGACGAACCAAAACTCCACCAGATTCTTCTTCTCATCATGGATCGTAACTGAAGTAAAATATTGTTTCTCTTTAGGAACCACATTTTGTTGAAGATTATTCTTCTGTTTTCCTCTAAAAAAAATATTTTTCTGTTTTCAAAATTTAAAATATATATATATATATATATATATATTTAATCAAATTTAATAATTTAAAATTAATGAGTTAATTATAACACTAATTAAATCAATATATTTTGTTGCTTAATTTTTATTTTTATTTTATCTTTAATAAACACGAAGTATCTCAATCCAGTAATCTATATCTATATTTATAATTATAATTTTTAAATTATCTTATCTTTAAATTTTAAATATCAAAAATTAATCACTCTTATAAACACTAGAGCAAAGAGGCACTTTGTACTTTTAAATATTTTTAAAAGTGAAATAAAAAATATATAATAATGTAAGCAGTTATAATTGTAAAAATGAAAAATAATTACGCAAAAAAGTAATTCATTTATCTATTAGTATAGATAAGACTCAAACTATAAACTTTGAGATTTAAAAATCAAACATTACACCAACTAATTTAACAAATATTAATAATTTTTAAATATTTTTATTAAATAAAATATAAAGATAAGAAATATCTCGATTTCACTAATATAAATAAAGCATATGTTAAATTTATTTTATGATATGATTATATTTAAATTATTAATATTTTAAAATTACTGAAATATGGGAACTATTTTCTAACAATAATATTTTTTAGAAATTTCTCTTAACCTTTTTATATATTTGTAGTTTCTACCTTTGTTTTTAAATTGAATTTAAATTTTTAAAAATAATCTTAATTAAAGGTATTTACTAATACTTTAATGCATGTAATGCATAAAATAAATATTTATTTATATACTTAAAAATTGTTTTTAGCATTTTATGTGCTTAAATTTTAAAAAGATAATTTTTTCACTAGAAAGATAATTTTATAGTTTTGTTATTGAGGAGAAAAAAAAATGAATACTAGGGTTTCTTTATATTAGAGAATACTAGGAAGCTGTCGGAGCCTTCAAATGTAGGGGGAAGACGTTAGTCGATCAAGTGAAACATTCAAGGAAAAGAATATGGGGGACCCTTGGTATCCTCTCCAGTACATGATCTCCTCAAGGAGAGTGTTACGTCCTTATAATACGAGGGTGGTGATTATCTCCTTCCTGAGTTCACTATTGCTTAATCAACCTTTGTGAAATTGTATGAACTATGAAAACAATGACTGGTGGTTAAGCTATTGGGGGAAGAGTATTGGTTTCATTATTATATGGAGCAGAAACTTGTTCAATTAACCTATACAATTAGTATTTTAGTTTGTCCAATGCACATACGTTTATTATATATAATTAAAATTTATGATAAATTATATATAAATGAAAACTGTGTTTGAATATATAAAAATATATTAAAATTCGTATACATAGATATTTTTAAGCATATAAATTATATTTTAGATATATGATAAATGAATTGTATTGTAGCAAAAAAAATAAATTGTATTGTAACAAAAAAAAACTATTTTTATTTATTGATAATTTATTTTAAAATATCAATGCTTAATTCACAAATAATCATGATAATAAAAACTAAATTAGATACGGAATTAAAAAAATTTCTTCAAATCTTCTCATCGAAGAAAAGTCTCTAAAAATAATCTCACTCAAAGTAGAGGTTCTTGTAATACATACATATATATATATATTAATAATTCATCAGTTAAATTAAAAGTTTTTAACATATAGATAAGTCTACAAATTTTTTTAAAAATTAAAAATTACTTGATATTTCATGTCTTTAATTCCAAGCATTCTATATGTTAATTTAAATTAATAAAATGAAGTATTAAATAATTTTCAAATTTTTAAAAAATTTACAAACTTATTCTTATATTAAGTTTAAGCAGACTTACTCTTAGAATAATTGAATATCTCTTATATGAGTGTGTATGTATATAAATATGTGCGTGTTATATATAAAATTTTAATAATCTAATTATTGCATAATTTTTTTAATATATGGATCAGTTTTAAATTTTTTTTTAAAATTTGGAAAATCATATGATATTTAAAAAACTTTTAAATTAACATATAAAATATTTTTATAATTATCTATCAATTTGAACTAATAAAATAAAATATCAAAAAATTTGTTTTTAAGTATTTTTACTAACATATGAGTTCTTTTTATCAACATACATTATGTTTTTACTTCATAAAAATTAATAATAAATAATTCTTTATTGCAAGGTCTATATAAATTCTCCATCCAAACAGGATATTTCACCTCAAAGAATTTGAAATTCTTCAAATAAATGAATTACTCTATTTAAATTCTCCATCCAAACACACTATAAAGGAATTTGAAATTTTTTGTATTTGAATTTCTTTGATTTTAATTTCCATCATTCTTATATTTTGTTTGAATAAGTTAATTCAATTTTCTTAAATTTAAACTTTTAGTTTGGATATGGTAATTTCATTCCACCATGATAATTGATTTTAAAAATATATTTATATGTTAAGATTTTTAAATTAAAATTTATATAAAAAAATATTAGTTTTTTTAAAATATTTAATACTTTTAAATAAATTAATATCGAATATTTAAAAATATTTTTAGAAGTACAAAGAGATAAGATAAAATATACAAGTGAAATAAGAACAAAAATATAAGGAATTTCAATTTTTTACTTTTTTTTTAGAGAATTTGAAATTTTACTATTTTAAAGAATTTTACAAATGCTTGCATTTCAATTTCTTTAAATTTCTCATCCAAACAAAGCATTTCACTTCAAAGAATTTGAAAATTTTCAAATAAATGAGTTATTACATTTAAATTCGTCATTCAAACACACTATAAATTCTTATAACTTATTCAACTGTCAATAACTAGAAAAATAATATTGATAGTTCATTATAATATTAATATATTCAACGACTATTAGTTGAGATTCTTAGATATACCACATATTTAATTACCCCATCTGAAAAATTTCTAACTTCAAGAAAAAACCAAATACAATAAGCGTATCTGGCATTGTTGCATTTCCTTTTCTAGAGAAATATGTATTTTTCGGTACTTAATATCACTGTGTTTCCTCCTTTTTTGGTGTATTGAGAAAAACAAACAAGACAAACGAAAAGAACTACAATAGAAAAAATATATATATTCTCTCACCAACTAGGAACTAAAAACTAAAGGACTTCTCCATATAGTATAAATAGTTGAATTCCTAGCCCCAGCCTGCTAGATAATGAGCCATTTTATTTATATCTCGAGAGATACTCACAAAAACAACCCTTTAGTCTCGAGCCGCCATCCTTTTGATATTGTTGATAATATTCCAATATTTGTGAAGATATCTCTCATGATCCAATCCTTGAATTACCAACATCGCCTCAACATAATCTGATTCACAAATTATGTGTCACCAACTTAAGTGTCAGTACAACTCCAAACCTTTTATTGTTGCCAACAATTTTGCATGAAAGTGGATCACCATTACTCGTTGAGCTTGCAAAACCACTATTCCAACCTCCCACTGCATCCCTCACAACACCTCCAAACCCCATAACTCTTTTGTCACTCGATCAACTACCATTTACATTCAAATTTAGCCACGAGTATTCAAGGGGGACTAACACACATTATTCCCTAGCTCCTCCTCTGCTTCAAATATAGGAGATTATCCATAGTAGTTATCTTAATCTAATGTAGTACATTGAATACTCCATCCCTTTTCATGGAAAATCATATTGTTGCAAAACCTCCATACCCACTAGAGGACCATACTCAACCTCATACCATCCTAATGTTGAATGACAACCAAGAACCAAGTGTCAATATCATTCATCATAAACACCCAATGAAACCTCTGACCCATTTGTAGTCATACTTCCTTCAAATGAGGACAGTCCCTTAAGGCATGTAACAAAGTTTGCGTTGAGCACGAACATCTGGGGCATGAGTCACTAGATGCAAGATGTCAAGAAAACCTAAATTGGTTTGTAGGTAAAGTCTTAAGTAATCATTGCCAAAGAAAAAAATTTAACCTTTTTTAGTATATGAAGTTTCCATACACCCTTTCATATGTATTGTTGCAAACAAGGTGCCTCAATTTGAAGAAAATGAAAACTTGAAGCTGTAGTGTAACAATCTAATACATCAATCTTCTACGAGATATGATCCTCGCTACCCTTGAGAGAGGGAGCGCTAGTCTGTTGAAATTGTAGGGACCACTCATTAGGAAGCCAAGTGTATAAGAACCTGAAATCCCAAGCTCCATTCCTCCAACATTGCACCACTATCGCTTACACCTCATGAATATGAACAAGCGATTCCTATGCCCCATTATGCCCATATCATACCAATCTTTATACCAAAATGAGGAGTTATTTTCACCCAACTAAGGTTCAAATCCCTATTGGATATAAAGAAAAGCTTTAACAATGCTATTCCAATCCGAGATGCTTTAATATGTTTTTTAGCACGCAACACCAACTCTCTATGCAAGTACTTCTCTCATAAAAGATCCATCTACGACGTTTGATCTAAATATAAGATATTTCACACCAATTTTCCAAATAAAGAAATATCCTCCTCTAAATCTATATATAAATATATTATAGGATTTAATGTTATTGTAATTCCTTATGAAAAATACATAATTATTTTAAATTCTTCATGCCGGCACATTTCATTCGCTAAAAATATTTTTCCAGAGTATTTTATAGTACCTATTTTTTTTTAATGATTATCATTTCTATTTTTATAATTATCATATTTTTTCATTAATAAAATTAAAATAAAAAAAGCAACATACAAGTTTCACAATTTAAATGAAACAAAAAAACAATTGAAAATGTGTGATAAAAATTCCACTGTAAAAAAAAGCATATTAGTGTAAAGAAAAATAATAATAAAATCATAAAGATATCATTTTAATGTATACCAATATATAATTGAAATATTTATTTTCACAATTAATTTTTGTCTTTATAATTTGTGAATGATTATTCTCTCAATTATTTAAAAAACAAATAAATAAATAATCTTAGAAATCACTGGTGACTAACTCTGAATAACAATTCATATTATTATTGTTTTTGTTTATTTTATTTTTAAAAATATTTAAAGGCAGTGTTTGTAATGCAAAAGAAAGAAAAAAAAAGGAAATACAGCAATATACAAATCAATTGTATTATTAATTGGTGTGGTATTTTTTTTTTTTTTTTTTGTAGTGCATAGAGTGGAACGTTTCATCATATAATCATAAGCAATTCGGTGGCGAAAACAACGGAACAGCAATCGCAACATGTACGGCGGCGCCTCCTCCAAGCTCGGCCGCGGCGCTCCGAACCGCCGCCACTCCTCCTTCCCCCCTCCGCCGCCGAACCGTCCCTCCGCCCCTGCCGGCCGCCTCTCCATGGGCGCCTCCTCCCGCAACGCCGCGAAGGAGACGGCGGCGCCGGCGGCTGAGGAGACCTTCCGCCTTACCTCCGGCAGCAACTCGCTGGCGTTTTCCATGATCATACGGCTCGCGCCCGACCTCGTTGAGGAGATCAGGCGCGTGGAGGCGCAGGGCGGCACCGCGCGTATGAAGTTCGGCCCCAATCCTCACAATCCCATCGGAAACGTAAAGCTTCTCACTCAATTTCGTTCTCAAATTTTCGATTGGTTTCTGCCAACCCTTCGCAAAGTGTTGTGTGTCAAATCAAACATTTAACGTGTTTGTTTATTTGTTTCCTTTTGGTTTTCATTGACGCTCACTTTTGTCTCTTTTTCTCCCTTTCTCTTGGCTTTATCGGAATCTTTTAATGCAAAAAACACGCGCAAACGTTTTGAAGTGTAGTGTCGATATAAACTGGGGTAACCGGGAATTCTCCATTCAGAACAGAATTTGAAATTGTGCATATGTATGCTTATGGTGAAATTTTGAAATTGTGAATTTCTGATACTGAATTCGATTCTTTATTACTGGTTATCCTTTTTCAACAGTGTTGTAATGATAGTGCTACTGGGAAGTAGTGACTTTTTGTTGGAACTTGGTTGAATTGTGTGCCTAATTTGATACAGGTTTCAATGATGAATACTAATGTATGGTTGGATATTGGTTTAAAATTAAGTTCAACAGAAAAACACGTGTTCAATGCAAAAAAAAAAAGAAGAAAATTTCGTGTGTAATTTTTCTTTTCAATCCCAGTTGAGTTCACCTCAACTAGTTCTCAAACGCACTCTAAGTCACTGAGTTGTAAACTTGTCAATGTTGTTTCTATTCTAGAGTGAAATCATGTGATTTTGCCACATGGCTCAGTTTGTGTTTACCGTTTTTTTGTTTTCATGTGTTTGCGTTTTTGTTAAGCAATTTCTGATCTGTAGTTTGGAATGGCTGTTGTTTTATTTGTGCCAGATTATTGATGTTGGTGGGAAGGAGTACAAATTCACGTGGTCAAGGGAATTGGGTGATCTCTGTGATATTTACGAAGAGTGCCGAAGTGGCGAAGATGGAAATGGTTTGCTTGTTGAGTCTGGGTGTGCCTGGCGAAAGCTGAATGTGCAGCGTATCTTAGATGAGTCCACCAAAAATCATGTCAAAAGGCGGTCAGAGGAAGCTGAACGCAAGATGAAGTCTCGCAAGTATGTTGCCTTAAATGGAGATATTCCTTGTTACTGCACATACCTCATATTATGCACTACACCCTTTGAGAACCCTGTATTTTTAAGTGATCTTTTGCCTTTTTCTTTGTTAATTTATCACAGCTTGTATTTATAAGAAAATGCTCATGGTACTTCTAGTAAAAGGATATTTTCCTAGTATTTTCAAAATTTGAAGGTTTGCAATAAAACTCAATTGATATATACATGAGCACTTATAAATTTCAAGGATTTGGCTCCTCTAAAGTAAGTAATTGACGTTTGAGGGTAAACTAATATTAGTTATTGATGACAAAATCAACAATTGATGTTATGTGCACATGCATGGTAGATCATAAATATGTTGGAATATCAATGGTTGATTTTCTCATAAACAGTTGAGCCTGCTCACTTTACCCTTTCTCACTTTAGAGGATCCGAATCCAAATTTCAAAAAACTACTAGGATAACAATTTTGGAGCTGAACTCTAAAGTCTTGATGGCTAACTTTTTTATAAGTTATTTCTATGGTTGCTACTATTTTTATTTCTCTCGGAATTCTGTCTCACATATTATTAAATAAAAGCAAAATGTGCAGTATATTATCTATATTTAGGTACTGAGAAGAGTTATGGGTTTTTGTGAGTAGGTGTTCTTGAATTTGGGTTGGGATTGACTGAACCCTAAAAGTTAGCTCACGAGGCAAGGATTAATAAACCCTATATAAGCTCTAGTTGAGTCCATTGTTGTTAAATAGCTGCTGCAGTGTTATTGCATTGTAAATTCCTGAGATCCATGATTGAGATTCTGCACACTACTGTTGCCGCCATGGCTTTTGTGGTTGCAGCATGTATCTTTTAGCTCTGGCTAGTCTCCAACCAATTGGGCTTGATTTAATGTTATCACATTTTTTATGCATTTTATTTTTGTTTGCATACAACTTGATTTCTGATACATATTTAATATTTCCTTGGATTCACAATCATGATTCTTTACACTATTGTGGCCACAGGCCGCCATGGTTGTGGCATACATCCTGTATCCTCTGGGGAGTTCCTATCCAATTGAACTTTTGTGTTAATATTATGGCATTTTATTTGCTTGCAACTTGAATTTTTTATACATATATAATGACAATTTTTATGCATTTTATTTTTTGTTTGCACCCAACTTGATTTTTTATACATATAATATTCCTTGGATCCACAATCGTGATTGTGTACACTATTGTGGCTTCCATGTTTGCAGCATGCATCCTGTATCCTTTTCTCATCTCTGGCTAGTCTCGAATCGATTGAACTTGTGTTAATATTGTGGATTTTTTAAGCATTTTATTTGTGTACAACTTGACTTTTTATACATATATAGTTGATGTATATGATATATTTCAACTGCTATGCAACTTTCACTATTATCGTGTGATGCTATCTGCTATATGATATATCAGATATTGGCCTTTCACCATTTTCTGCGTGAGATCTCAACACACACTCCTCGTGCCTAGGACTGGAATTTGGACATCTAAAGGATGGGTCTTGTTGGATTGATATATATGTGTGTGTGTGTGTGATATATCAGATATTGGCCTTTCACCATTTTCTGCATGAGATCTCAACACACACTCCTCATATTTTTGGACATCTAAAGGATGGATCTTGTTGGATTGATATATATATATATATGTGTGTGTGTGTGTGTGGATTGCACTGGGAAAACTGCAGGGCTAGGTAGTTTTTTTAATATTGCACTGAAAAAGCCACAGGGTTAGGCAAATTTTGTACAATTAAAGGTGGCCCACTATCAATTTTTGTGATAGGCTTTGATACCATCTTAAATTTGGATTATGTCTAACTCAACCCTAAAAGCTAGCTTATGAGGCAAGAATTGCCCAAGCCTTTATAAGCTCTATTTTAGTAATATCTATAGTCGATGAAATTTCAATAATTGTATTATCGGCAGCATTTGGCAACTGATCCCAGTTCAGTTTGTTTTTAACAACCTGGCAGTTAAAAGTTGTCCAAACTCCTAGCAATTAGTTAGGTGGGGCCTCTAACTGAATTGTTTAGTGGTAGCTTGAACCAAATTAAGGGGTGAGGGACGGAGAGTAATAGAAAGAGCAATTCTAGGGGGTGGACTGATTTTTGGAAGTCTTGAATCCCTGGAGTTGAGAGATCTATTCCTGTAATTTTCATCACAAATTTTTCTCTTGGCTTTGCAATCTTGTTGATTCATAGTTCAGATTCAACGATGGGAGTTATTGTTAATCCTAATTGTTTTACTTGAAATAAGAGGCAAAGTTTAGTTGTTTTACTTGAAATATGAGGAAAAGTTTTCTGAGTATTATTTGGTGATTCAAAATGTACGATATGTAATGGTAATATATAGGTTAATCCTACTAAATGAAAAAACAGGAAAAATGAATTACAATATTTTTTTTTTGTCCATGAATATGGTTCACGCAGTGTCCTAAAACTGACAACCAAAAATTAATATACACTTGTGAGATGTGGCTTCCGTTTGCTAAGCATTATTTTAATACAATACAATATATTTTAATAACTACAAATTCTACCAGGATATTTATTGGAAAGAGAAAATATTCTGTCTGAAATTAGAGCTATTTACATATTTACAACAATTTTTGTAAAAAAGTTAACAAACTGTTGATGACATTATACTTGGCCAACTGGCCATAACAAAGGTTCTTGGTTACTAATACTCTATTTCTAGTGTTAAAATTTTGATTAACTCATCTGTTTATTTGCTAATTAGATTGCTTAGGTTTGATGTAAAATGGTTTGTCTTCTTATATACTTTCCATGCAGTGATTGTTTATGGCGTATGAATCTCCCCTGCCCTTTTTCCTTGGTTTTGGCCAGTTGTTCATTTATTTATGTTGTTTGCAACAGAGCCATTGTCTTAGAGCCAGGGAACCCATCTATGAAGAGTCAGCTAAAGGCATTAGCAGCTGTTGAGGGTAACTGTTTTTTTTTCTTTTCGGTATCTTGTACTAATGGATTGATTTTTTCTGTAATATTTTTAAGTGTAAAATTTCAAATTGCTATTTTCTTATGTCATTGAGATGAGCAACTCAAGTTTTTTCTTGATATTGGGCATGTTCACCTCCTTATCACCACTATTTTCTTCTGTCAAAGCCTTCCAGTTCTACTGTATTTAGTTTAATAATGTTTATAATATAGAAATATTTTACTGAATGGCCTTATACTCCCTTGTCCAGCTACACCATGGAAGAATTTCAATAAAAAGAAAGAGGCTGCCCTTAAGAAAAGGAAAGAGGGAACACTTCAAGGTGATTAAATTTCACATCTTTCTGACATAGCTTCAATCAATCTTAAGATGATATCACTTAGCAGTATTGGAACCTTTAAGATAAATTTCTGTTAGCATGAGTGATTTATCTTGAATGTCTGTAATCTGGACTTTTTTTTTTAAGTAGTTGTCGGACCCCCAAAATCTTCCCATAGATCTGGATTGACTTCAACAAATGCTGCCACCAAGGGCAGACATTCCTCTCCTCTTCCATCCCAACCAGATCCTTTTGCTGCTTCATCTTCTCCACTGGGACCTTTAAATATGTCCAAGAGCCTTGAGGATGCTGTCCCATCACAAATGACAGGCAAGCAAGATACTAATGCTGTCTCTGAGAGAGAAATCCCTTCCAGGACAAACATTGCCACGAGGAACACACCGGGAGGCAAGGGAAATAGTGGGTCTAAACCAGCTGATTTGCAGGGCATGTTAGTTTCTCTTCTAAAGGACAAACCTAATGGAATGACTTTGAAGGTGTGGTACAAAATCCAGTATACAATCTCCTTTAATATCTCTAAAAAAAATTTATTAATCTAATTATACACCTTAACTGCTTTCTCTCTTAATTATAGGCCTTGGAGAAAGCTGTTGGAGACACATTTCCAACTTCCATAAAGAAAATTGAGCCAATTATAAAAAAAGTAAGTGGGGGGATTCTTTTGAGGCTATTGTTTTATGATACACGTGTGATCTAATTTTTCAATTATTGTTGAGCTTCAGATTGCAAAATATCAGGCTCCAGGAAGGTATATTATGAGACCAGCAGTAGATTTGGAAAGTTTAAATAAACCTCAAACTGAAAGCGGAAGGTACCTGTTATTTTTATATAACTATACTTTGTGATGAAGATCCAAAATCATATCACTTTGGTATACCAGTACTTTAAGTTTTTCACTTTTATGGGTCCTATCCTGCATTTAAGGTGTATTATTTTATTTGTACAGTTCTCCTGATGACAATCACAGCCAGATACCTGCTCGTGAAGAGTTTCATGATCAGGCATCAGCTCCACAGGAAAGATCTGAAGAGAAAGCCCCAAATGTTGATTTGGAGGAAATGGTCAAAGTAAAATCCAAAGTAGAAGAAGAACCAAACAATTGTGAAAAAATTGATGCCCAACATACTTCTCCTGATATGGTTGCTGACAAAAAAGGTTCTGATCATAGTGAAGGGCAGGCAGGCACCTCCAGTGATAGTGGAAGTGACAGTGACAGTGAAAGTGACAGCAGTGACAGTGGAAGTGATAGTGGAAGCCACAGTAGGAGTAGAAGTAGAAGTCCTGCCGGAACAGGGAGTGCGAGTAGTAGTGATAGTGAAAGTGATGTATCATCGAGCAGCAAGGAGGGACTGGAGGGATCTGATGAGGATGTAGATATTATGACTAGTGATGATGAAAAAGAGTCAAAACAAAAAATAGAAGCCTCTGATCAAAAGATGCCCTTACCCAATCCTGTAATATCTCCTGAGCGAAGATCAATTCAGAATGAGGTTGGTGAGAAGCAAGATGGTAATGAATCTGATGCAGTTGAAATTGAAAAGGACTTACCTGAGGATCAGGAGGCTGAGATGGCTCTAGATACGGCTATCATTTCTAATAGAGGTGGAGAATATGTAGAAGAGACAAGGCCGTTTTCACTTGACTATCAACAGCTCCAGGAACGCCAAAATTATATAGGGAGTTTGTTTGATGAAAGAGAAAATGAAGTTAAAGATAGCTCTAAGCATGAACAGTCTGACAGCTCTGATAGGTTATATAAAGGTAAACACAAGAGAGGTTCTGATATGAAGAATATTGATGAGAAATCAGAAGGTGCAAAGAGGTTGAAAGCAGGAAGCTTGAGCCGTGAACCATTTTCTCCCAGTATGGATGTGCAGACACTCGAGAATTCTCAGAACTTATCTCCTGATGAATTTACTGAAGACATCTGTAAGGGACCTAATGTACAAATGCCAAACAGAGCTGATAGACCAGGGAATTCAAGTGTTAGCTTACCCAAAGAACCCAATCGAGCATTTCCTGGAAAATCTAGTTCAGAACAAACAGGTCGAAGATCCATAGATCAAACCATTTCAGAATACCCTTCCTATCCATCGGAAAAATCAGATAAACAGGGTGAAAGCATAAGGCATGGCAAAAAACACTCAGGAAAGGACTTCCGTGCTCGTGAAGCCTCTGTGCACAAAGATAAATCTCATAGAGATGGCTTGAATGAGGATATTCATGCCACTGAGAAAAAAGCCCCCAGGAATTCCAGGGATGATAATAGAAGTAAACAGTCACTATCCATGGATTCTTATTACCAAAAACAAGGTGAAACGGTTGGTAAATTAAAAGAAGGCCGACAAAGTACACAGTCACACTTCGGAGCATCACCTAAGGACAAAAATAGAATTGGTCTTAATCAATCCCCTGTAACTAATGGGCGAGGTATCTCTCTTCAAAGAGAGCTTTCAGACTTGGAGTTGGGTGAACTCCGTGAGTCCACTCCAGATGAAACTCACATAACAAAGCAATTTGAACGTAAAGGTTCATTTAAACATTTGGAGGACAGAGTAAACACTTCAGAGGAGAGGAATCCAGATGTTACTAAAGTAAAACCTTCATTGAAAGCAACTTCAGATTCAGGAAAGCCAGCCTCAGCATTTGTAAATTCTGGTTTTCCCAGTAATTTGGACAGTTCTAATAAAAAGAACTCAGATAATCATTTTGAAGATTCAACAAAATCTCGTTCTAGAGTTGCACAGATTCATTCACAATATTCAAAAGCAGATCATGCAGAAGAAGGATCTCAAAACAAATTGGCAGAAATAAGCAGTAAATTTAGAAATAATGAATCTGGGACCGGCCAAGATATTGACTTGGAAATTCGCAATGAAAGCAATAGAAGAGTGCCTGCACATGCATCTAAACAAGACAGTAAACGGGGAATGGTTTCCTACCCTATGAAAGAAAGTAAAAGACAAACACCTAATTCAGTAGAAGTGATGGCTTATGGAGGAAAGGATTCTGTGTTTGCAGATAGAAATCATGGTGATCAAAAGAAGAGAGAATCATCTTCAGACGAAAATAGTTGCTCTTATTCGAAGTATGAAAAGGATGAACCTGAATTGAGGGGACCGATTGGGACTCTTTCACAGTAAGCAGTTATTCATTATTTTTTATTTTTAATTGTTGTTCTGGTGATTGATGTTGTGATAGGCTTCTTTTGAGTTAATTACTTGATTTTTTTGGCATCTGACACATTTTTTTCCTATGCAATGCTAGATATCAAGAATATATGCAGGAGTATCGTGATAAATTTGATAGTTACTGCTCCTTGTACAAGATTTTGGAGAATTACAAGTAGATTCCCTTACAAATCAAAGTTGCATTTCTTTTCTGTTAGATGTTTAGTATGATTACTTGTCTGATATCTCTTACACAATTTGTAGGGACAAGTTTCAGAAACTAGGCAAGGATTTAGAATATGCTAAAGACAGGGATATGGATAGGTATTATGAAATCTTGCAGCAGATGAGGGAATCCTATCGACACTGTGCACCGGTATGTTCTGTCTGGTTCCTTCCCATGCATGCAGTATTTGTATAATTGTATTACAGCTCAAACGTTGGATAAATCATATCATATTTTAATACATTCTTGTTCTGCATTCAACAGTTTCTCAATATTTTATTCTTACTCAATGTCCTTATATCTTATCTTGACCATTTTCCTTTCTGTTTTGGATGATAATCTTTGAAAATACTTGTACTGCCTAAATCACATGTACGGTAATCTTGATGGAATTTATGTTTATCGAAAGTTATTGTGCATTAGACAAAATTAATCTTCTAGTTCATGTTGATGTCTTAAGCTGGTTCATTTTATTATCCATTTAAATAGTGAGTAGTGACAGGATATTGCATTGCCAGCGATGGCAATTGATGATAATTGTCTTGAGTGCGACTTGATGCAATTTTGGTTGAATTTAAAGTTAAACAAATTATTGATTTGTCTTTTTATTTTTTTTTATCAAGAGTGTGTTTGGGATATTGGAGTTTTTTTAACCTTTTCTCTGAGTGTTTCATGTGTTGTTTAATTTGTAAAGCTCTCCTTGTATTTAGTATATATCTTTTAAACCGTTGGGCATGATGTGAATTGCAGAGACACAAGAGATTGAAGAAAATATTTGTAGTTCTTCATATGGAAGTGGAGGTAATTATTCACAGTTTCTCTAACCTTGAAAGTATCAACCTATATGGATTTGGTTCTTTTGCATATATACAATTTAGCTCTTGAAGTTGTCGTTTTCATGACGAATTAGATTTTGGAGGCAAAATTGTATATGTACTCATTTTTATTAAGTAATAAACTTTTTGTCTTTTCACATAATCATTTAGTTATTTTGCTTCTTTCTGCATGCTCCTAACGCTTCTTTTTCCCACTTGCAGACAATTAAGCAAAGGATCAAAGACTTTGCAGAAGCGTTTAATAAATGATAAAAATACAGGAGCCTTATTGACTATTATGGTTTAGAATTTTTGGGTGATACATGATGTGCAGTTGAGTAGATGAATTTTTGTGTAAGTTGGATGTATACTAGCTTTTGGTACTATTTATTGGTAGAGCCGTATACTTGTGTATAAATGAAATTTTGTCTTGCTTTCTCGTATAGTTCTGGCATATTTTTTGTTTGGCCCGACCTTCATTTTGTTCATGTCTAGATAAATTGTATATTTCTTTTACTCCGTTTGACAAAATTCACCGAGATTCAGTCTCAACGCTCAACAGTCCTAGTGAAATTTGAGAATGTGCATTTTAAGTTCACAAACCAAATAAATGAATAGAAGGGAAGTAGCAATCATCCATTGAAGATTTACAAGGTCACGTGGTGATTTTGGAAAAACCGGTGCCAAATAGGGGAAGAAAAGAAAATAGGACTTGAGTATGATACCATAGTATCCGCTTTTTAACTCGCATTTTAAAATATGTCCTTGACACATTCTCCGAACTTCGTGAGTATTTGGGTACTTATACCAGTTGTTATTTGCATTTTATTTAAAGAAAATGTTATTGGATATCTTAGTTAGAAAATCAAGTCATGAGGAATATTGTAACTGACTAACAGTATTAGGGAATTAAAGGGTTTTAAATTTTGAGAAGGGAAGAATAAATCATCAAGAAAGGATTTCAGAGTTGGGTGTAAATTGGTAGGGGTATTAAGTATAATGTCAATTTTTGGATTAAAATTAATAAACTAAATAATGTGCAGATACATACGATAAAGAGGATAATAAAATATTGTTCTATTTTCATAATTTATGCAAATAAATATTTGTACCTTGATATAGATTCATTTAGCCCCTAATCTTTTTACTGCGAGTATTTAGTGGTGTAGGTTTAGTTGTGATTTCTAATAAGACTTCGAGTATGTTTGCTCCGGTTTAAATTATTATTGACTTAAAAGTCACTTTTAATTTAAAGTTAGAAATAAAGTTTAAAAAATTAAGTAAAAATTATTTGTTAGCTTTTATAATTTTTTTAATTTAAAACCTCTCTTTTTTAGTTAAAGATGTTTGACAATTATTTTTTTTAAGTTTTATTTTTATTTAAAACTAGTAATCCTGTTCATTAAAAAGTGTATATATATATA